GGGACGGGCGGAGGGGCCTGGGATGCGGTTTTGCTAAGCGGGGCAGCCGGGGGCTTCCGGGGGAGCAGCGCTGGGCTCTGCTGCTGAGAAAATCACCCCCTGAGCAGGCAGGGCATGTGCTCACAGCGTTGCTTTCTGGTGTGTAACTTCCTGCCTGTGGCAGCGCTGCTTGTGTTAATTATACACAAAATTCAGAACAAGGCTTTTCCTGACCTGTCTTCTTCCATGCTTAGCTTAAAAAACCTCACTGTAAGATGTTTTGGGTGTAGTAGTTTGCCATTTTTCTCTGGTTATTACAGTTGTACCCACTGCATGCTCTGGAGTAAAGGTCCAGCTGGGTTCAAGACTCTTGCACTTTAATCTTAGTAACATGCCAGGTGTTCCCGGAGTGACTGTGTCCTTGTTGGAGAGCAGAAAGATGACACAGTCCATCTCTCGTTTTCTTACAGTCCACAGAAGCTTTGGAATTCATGAAACGGGACTTGGCTGAGTTCACCCAAGTGGTGCAGCATGACACAGCCTGCACCATTGCTGCTACAGCCAGCGTGGTCAAGGACAAGCTGGCAGTGAGTACAGGAGCAAGGGGGTTGGGGTTCCTGCTGCAGAAAGCAAAGAAGGGGGGAACAGGAGGTACCTGCCCCCAAGAACACCATCCTCTGAGCAAACCCTGACCTGTAACCGTGAGCTTCAGGTCTCAGACTTCCCCCCCCAGTGCAGGTTTGGTGCTAAGCACACTGGGATTTCCTTTGTGTAGTAGCAAGGAACCTCTGGATCAGAGTGCAGACAGGTTCCCTGTGCTTTCTTCTCCCTGTGTGCTGGGCAGGTGGGATCCTGGCAGTGTGGCTAGAGTGTGACATCAGTGACATCTGCACATACTGAGCCCTGCACAGCTGCTGCTGTGATGGCCCAACCTGGTTGTGTCCTTTCCTGCAAAGCCAGGGCTCGGTTCCCCACAAACCTGCCTCCTTCCCTGCAAAGCCAGGGCTCAGTTCCCCACAAACCTCCCTCTGCCTCAGGCTAGTGCCTGCCACCACACCCTTCTCTGAGCCAGTCCTGCCCACGCTGTCCCCTCCTTAGTTTAGGGAAAGGCTTCCTGCTTCCTTGAGGGAACCCATCCAGAAAAGACTGAGTTTTGTCCTGCTGCTGCAGACACTGTTCCTCACACTGTGCTGCTTTTTCTCTTCAAGAGGACAGAAGGTTCCTCAGGTGCGACTGAAAAGGTGAGGAAAGGTCTCTCTGACTTCTTGGGTGTCATCTCGGACACCTTTGCTCCCTCACCAGACAAGACCATAGACTGTGATGTGATAACCCTGATGGCAACACCTACAGGTACCACTGAGCCCTACGACAGCGCCAAGGTGAGTGCCCTGTTCCCAGAGCTCCTCCCTGGGATGTGGAATCCCACCCCCTGGGGCTCTGCTGCTGCCCCTCCCCTGACAGCCCTGCTCTGTCTCCTCCTCCAGGCTCGCCTCTACAGCCTCCAGTCTGACCCTGCCACCTACTGCAACGAGCCTGATGGTACGGGGGTATCTGGGTTGGTTTGAACTGGTGCTGTGGGGCCTTGTGCTGGCAGAGGACCCACATTCCCCTTTTCCTTTGCCCCTTGCTCAGCCCAGCTTGTCTGGTCCTTTATATTTTTCCAGTGAATCGCGGACTTGTCATGGTTGGGAAGGACTTCTGAGGTCATAGAGTCCAAGTATTGACCCCCAGAAAGAACCCAACAAAAAAAGCAACCCCAGAAAAACCAAACAAAACCCCACCTTGGCCACTAGAGCATGTCAGGAAGTACCAAATCTCCATGGCTTTTGACCACCTCCAGGGATGGTGACTCCATCACTTCCCCAGGCAGGCTGTTCCAGTGCCTGACTGCTCTTTCACTATAGAAATTCTTCCCAGTATCTGATCTAAACCTCTTCTGCCAGAACTTCAGGCCATGACCAACTTCCCAAAACTTCCTGCCCTGTTGGTGCCAAGGGTTGTTATTTCTCTGCTTGTCCTGTACAGGCCCTGCTGAGCTCCTTGAGGCCTGGCTTTCCCAGTTTAACCTTGAGGAGAAGAAAGTGGAGATTGCAGACCTGCTGGCAACCAGCCCTTCCATCCGGGCTCTCTACACCAAAATGGTAAGGCCCTGCACTGGGCAACTTGTGACCTGAGACATGGTGCAGGGAAGCTCTGAGCTGCTTGTCCCTTGAGTTGGTGGTGGAAAGGGCTGTGGTTGCTTGGTAAACTGGCACAGGGATCAGGGACAGCACCTTGTGGTGTCCTTCTCTGCTTGTGTGTCATGGGCCTGGAACAGAAGCTCCTGTAGCTGTTTGTGTGTTGATCTGCCAGGGCCAGGTCTGTGCCCCTGGAAGTGCAGGTGCCCTGGGCAGGTGATGAGAGTGACTGCAAGGCTGGGGAGGAGACAGGGGACCAAGGCAGTGGCCACAGCCCTCCCTCTGAGGTGACCTGTTGTGTCCCTTGTCATTCCCAGGTGCCAGTGGCTGTTTCCCATGCCGAGTTCTGGCAGCGCTACTTCTATAAAGTGCATCGTCTGGAGCAGGTTGGTGGGCAGGTGGGGTCTCCCTGGGGAGTGGGCTTTCCAGCCAAGGAGCTGACTAAGGCAGAAGATACTTTTCCTGGAAAAGCAGGGATCTGGGCTACCTTGTCTGTGTCCTTGTTGTCACTGGGGCATACATGCCAGGGGGAGAAGAGGCCTGGGGATGTGAGTGGCTCCTGATGCTGAATTCCCTGCAGGATGAAGCCCGGAGGGAGGCTCTGAAGCAGCGAGCAGAGCAGAGCATTCACCAAGAGGAGCCAGGCTGGGAGGAGGATGAAGGTGGGTCAGATGGTTCGGGATCTGTGGGAAGGCTCGTGCAGACCTTGGCAGGTCTCAGAGAGGGGGTTGGCTCCTCCTTGCTCCTCCAAATCCAGCTCCCAGCCCAGCTGCAGCCAACTCTGCTGCACCATCCTTGCCTGAAACATCTCTTGCTTCTCTCCTGCCTACAGAGGAGTTCTTGGGGATGTCACCCCTGCCTTGTGCAAACATGAAATTTCCAGAAGCAGCAGAGAAAGAATCTGCCCCTGCAGTCCTGGAGGGAAACCATCCCACTGCTCCCAAGGGGCCCTCAGAGGAAAGCTGGGCCATCCTCCCTCCAGAGCCAGCCCCAGCAGAGGGGAGCCCCTCTGAGAGCAGTGAGAGCATCTCCCTTGTGACTCAGATTGCAAACCCTGCCTCTGTGCCTGCTGCACAGCTACAGGCTGGAGCACAACCAGCTGGAGACCTCTCCCAGAGGCTACTGGGGGGCCCCCCCGGAAAGGAAAGCGCCCCTC